GTAGTGTTGCGTGTGTGTTCTAAAAATAAAGTTTGTTTCTTTTGACAAGTGGCTCCTGAATTGTGCCCAGTCAGACTGTGGCAGGAGGAGTTGGTAAAACCGTCAAAATCATTGACTTTTCTACAGGACACATCAGAGTCCTGACTGTCCTCCTGCTCACTGGGGACCCCAGCAGGGAGGGGCACGTGTAATGTTTCCTGACTAGAGAGCCACCAATGCACATTGTGGCAGGTGGTGGCAGGGAGTGGCCTTCCAGGGAAAGGCCTTGGAACAACTCTTGATGTGGAGTGTGGCAGTGGGTGTGTGCAGGACCTGGGTCCACATCCTGCCTCCCCCACTCCATGGCCTTGACATAGGACGAGCCATCTCACCTCTTTGGGACGTGACTGTCCTAACTTGTCATGGACAATGCTGTCAGGATCTAGAAATCCCCCCTGATCTTCTAGTCTTGAAGTACACTCACCCCATCACCCAGGATGGAGCAGAGGTGGGTGAGGAGCTTCCCACCAGGTAGGCTGAGGGCGCCTCTGCTCTCCTCTCACACCCAAGCCTCCATCCTACCTGCTGCCATCCACCTTCCCTCTGTCCCCTCTGTCCAGGCACATTGGAGGAACCCTTCAAGGCCGATCACACCATGGAGCAAGACTTCTATGTGAACGAGGCCACCACCGTGAGGGTGCCCATGATGAACCGCCTGGGCATGTTTGACCTGCACTACTGTCTCACACTGTCCAGCATGGTGCTAAAGATGAAATACCTGGGCAATGTCACCGCCATCTTCATCATGCCCAAGGTGGGGAGAATGGAGTATGTGGAGGACACCCTCACGAAGGAATTCCTCGACAAGTTGCTGAAAAAAGATTACAGCGGGTGAGTCCAGGCCGAGGGACGGGACAGGCACAGACCTCAAGGTCCCTCAGGACCAATGCATCAGAAGACAGCATGGGCAGCAGGGGGGACCATCCCTGGGGCCACAGCTACAGGGAATGACCCTGTGCTACAGGAAATGCCAGGGCTCAGCTCAGGTAGCACTTGAGAAGGGACAGTGGTCAAAGAGCAGGACACAGATCCAGCTGGAGGGGGGACTTCTCTCCAAGAATGTATATGGTCCCCTCCCAATATCCAGGGCCTCGCCAGGGCACTGACACTAGCACATGTTGTGGCAGAATCAAGGACAAAGTCCTGGCCTGCAGGTTAGGGCAGCAAGAGGGAGGACTTCCTGTAGGGCCGGCCGAGGTGCACAGGGGAAGCACCTGCATGGAAAGGCCCAGAACAGGAACAGGCAGCGCTGGGAGCTCAGGGCACGCTCCCACAGGCTCTGTTTCTCTGTCGCATCTCAGGCTGGTTCACTTGTCCCAGGATTCACACAGCTGGGTATGTGACAGAGCAGGTGCACTGTCCTGAGCCCAGCCATGGCCACTGGTGGAGGAGGCACACTGCAGACAGATGTGACACACATGTGCAGGT